CGGTTGCTGAAGTGTGTGGACCGGCAGCAGAGGAAGAACCACCGGCAGTCTTCGGCATATTGTACGCCCTGAAATTCATATCTACAAAAACAGGCAGAATATCACCAAGTATTCAAACCATGACCGGTTCAGTAAGAAAAGAAAGAGGAAGGAAATAAGCAGGTACCTGGGTGACTTGGGCCTCCAGCCTCTGCAGTGTTGCCCGGGGAGGGTCCCCCGTGCCCCGCTGCTTCATGGGCCCGGGAGGAACCCTCGTCACCCGGTTGGATACGCCAGACCCAACCCCCATAATGGTACATCTGACCGGTGAAGGGGTCCCCTTTAAGAAGCCGTTCCCGACTCTCCTCCAGATCCGGGGTAGCCGGCGGTTCAGTAAACTGATGCTTAAGGAGGTGGTCACTCCATGTCAGACCGGCCAAAGGAGTGATGGAGGGGGAAACTTTATGAAGACGAATTTTTCCTTCCACAAACGGATGCTTTGTGGAAGGTCAGAGATGAACTTGCGGTTATTCCGTCCCTTGAAGTAGACGAAACCTTCGCAACCCGGTTTACCGGGGCGAACCTCAAACATGTAAAGGAAGAGGCGAAGAGAGGGGTCTATGCGGAGGTGGGCGCAGATGTTTGCGAAGGAATTTAGCAACCGGTGAGCATTGGGAGTAATCTGGCCGGGTAGGATTTTGAAGCAATGGCAAAGCTCGACAAGGAGGGGGCGAAGGGGAAAAATGATACCACTCTCTAAGGAAGCAATGTGGAAACCAATCCTATCCTCCCGGTGAGGTTCGATGGTGTTGGACCAGTTATCGTCATATTCGAGAACATAGCCAACCGGAAGGTTCCTACGGGCTTTGTTCAAAGCTATCTTGGAGACATGGGGGTAAATGTCCGAAACAAAGGAGATGGGGAGTGGAGAGTAACCGGCTGCGTCCAACCTCTCCACCCACTGGTCCCGGGTCTCTCTTTCCGGGTCATAGGGGGCCGGTTCGTCATTGACCGGCTCCTCCCCCTCCGCAAATAGGTGACCGGGCATCTGGTTTAGTGGTTGCGGTTCAGGAACGCTAGGGTTTGGAATCGACCGGGACTGGGGAATGGGGGAAGACGACCCGGTCGAAGAAGAAGAAAGGGACTCCTCGGATGCGCGGGCATCCGAGACGNTGATGGGTGTATTTCACCCATGACCGGTCAAGGGTCCGAATCCGAAAATTGACCGGTCAAAGAAGTCAAACTTGAAAGGGAGATCTGAGTCGTCAGCGGAGGGATGGTTGGTTGACCAGACTAGTTGACCGGTACACTTCGGATTAGTGTACCGGTCAAACTACTCCATCGCCTAAATTCATCCTCCGAAGTTAGCCAAACCAACCCTCGAAGATCACCCAGTCTAGTTTTCGAAGATCGGAGAGTGTCGGCAGGAGGAATCCAAAAGGATTTGGACTATAGTGGTTGGAATTGCCGAGATGCTGAAGGCATCTTTCCAAACCAGAGCACGACAAAGGCGCAGCCCCCCACGCAAAATGACAAGGCTACGCAAATCAGTCACCTCGCAATACATCAGCAACGTGCCCCCACGTGGGCGCACGTGGTCTTGCCCCCCAGCTTAGTATATATAGCACTTGTAACCCTCGAAGAAGGGGATCCGAATTCATTCTCTCTAAACCCCCTTGTAAAAGTGACCGTGCATTCTCTATTATAAGATAATTCGGGCTACAGGTGTTCCACTAAAGTCCTACCGGTCATACTGAGTGTTTTTACTTTCTTTGCTTTACTGAATTAAGCCAACTACTCTAGACCCGGTCTAGTATAGTTTGACCGGTCAAGTAATTTACACTATCAAAATGTTATTAATTTATTGGAAATATTATGTGTGGATACCAATTTAGTAGCGACCCGGTTGCTAACTTATTTATTCGGGTTATGTGGGTTGGTGTGTTACAATGCAACTCTCAAAATAATAGTTTGATAAAGAAGATTGAAGCAAGAGTTGAATATTGAATAAGGAAGGAATGGAGTGCAAGAGATGTGTGTTTGATGAAGGATGAAGAGGGATTTTATAGGGTTGAGAGAAATAAATTCGTAGGGGGTAGGGATGAAATGTTTTTGACACATTTTACCATAGGTGATCGATCCAAAGCTTATCATCGATCCCCAATAGTTAAAAAATTGGTAAGGAATTTTTGTCAAAGCCACGGGGGATCGATCCAACCCTCTGGATCAGTCCTTCGAACAAAATTTAGAAATTTGATGATCGATCCAAGCAAGTGGATCGATCCACTGACTGATCACTCTGCACCAGGTGATCAATCCACTGAAGAGGATTGATCTTCTGACGAATTATGGCCAAACAAGGACCCAAGGCATGTGTGCGAGTGGAGAGTACAATTTGGATTTTAGGGATTGTTTGGGACACATGAGTGAGATAAGGAGGCTCCATAATCAAACAAAAATAATTCAAATTTAATTTTGAATTATGGAATGGATTTTGGTGTTGAAATTGAGTCCTAAAAATTTTTTGTGTGTCAAACTGTTCCACGAAAAATATATAAAGTATATTTTTCGTATTGCAAAAAAATTGTGTACCTTTAAAAATATATTAAGGAATTTTGACACACTATTTTGTAACTGGCCCAGTAAATTATTTTTGGACAAAGAAAAATTGATTTTTCAACTGACTTAGAAAATAATAATTTTTTCCCTCAAAAAATTAATTTGTTTTTGCAAAAATGAATGTCATCCTTACAAAAATTCCTAGACTCAATAAAAAAATAAAAGTCTTCGGAATCTTTACTTCACTTCAAAAACTCTACGTAGGGCCGAGTGCTGATTTTTATCGCCGTAAATTTCTTGATACGCCTCTTTGCTTTTCTCGATATGAAAAATAAATTTTTGATGATCGTTGATTTTAATGATCTTGTTTGTCATTAACAAAACCAAAAAAAGATTCTAGTATATATAAAAGGGTTTGAAATCATGTCCAACAATTTCCCTCTTTTTTATAATGACAAACATAGTTGAGAAAAAACTCCCTAAATTTCCCATGCAAGATTAGAGAAGTGCAGTAATAAAAATTTCATAGTATGAAAGCGGAAAGACGTTTTTCAAAAGAATATTTTCTCAACTATCCTTCTCAAAAGAATATTTTCGCCTTTTTGACATTATCAACCGATATCCTTCTCTGTTAAACTATGCTGGGAGTTTGAAGGATAGCTCAAAAGGCAATTTTTCTAAAAAAGTTTGCAAGAGTTTTCTTTTAAAAAAGAAACTAATATCAATTTGATACAAAGGACAACATGTTCTAATAGATGAACAATATTGCCAAAACATCAACAAGTATCAATAATAAGCATAATATTCAATCCACAACATAAACCACAATAAATTAACATCCATAACAAGTACTCCCTCCGTCCCAGAGTATTTGTCCAGTTTTGACTTTTGGAACTATTCATCTAAACACTTTGAATCATCAAATTCTCTCAATGTGTAAGCCTAAATATAGTCATGTGTAATCTTGTTTGATTTGTCTTAACATATAGATTATTAATATATAATTTCTATAATTTTTTAATATACAAATTACAAGATAAAATGGATTAAAGAAGTGTATTGGATCCTGTGTAAAAATGAAAGTGGACAAATACTCTAGGACGGAAGTAGTAACTAAAATCATAAAAAAACATCATCATCCACCAAAAGTTATAACAACTATGGTCATTCAATGTATCACACATAATCAAGATAATGGCATAGAGAAGAGTAAGGAGAGAAAGAAGTCAAAGAGAGCTCGATGGGCGTGGTCCTCTACTGTAGCTGTGGCGTGGTCCAGAGTAAGGTCGTAGCTCGAGCTCCGTCAACCGTTGCTCCATGCGAGAAAGTCGATGACCCTGCATGGTCATCTCCAAACGAGTACTCGCCACATCCGCGCGGGTGCACGTCACTGCATCTAGGGGTGAGCATGGTACGGTATGGGACGGGATTATGCCCGTACCGATACCGTACCATAACTTTCAGTTCGGTATGGGATTTCATATTTTACCGTTACCGATCCCAAAATATTGGTACGGTACGGTTCGGGAAAAAATAATGTCGGTACGGGATTTTTTTCGGGATTTTTTAAAACAAGCAAGGTATAATACATAATTGGTAATACAAATAGTAGTAGAAACATTTGTCTTAAATAGAAAAACTGTAAATGTAAATAGCAGCAGTGGTAGAAAATATTAAAAAAAAAAGCATTACAAAAGCAAAAGTAGCATTACAAAAGCAGTAGCTTCAAAAAAGGCAAAAATAAGCATTGTAGAGGAGAACTAGCCAAAGGAAATGTTCTGTTACATTATTAAGGCCCCACAAAAACATTGTGGTGACAAGTTTCTTTTCTTCAGCATTACAGAAGGTAGAAGCAATCACCCCTACATGCAGCAGAGTCCTTGAACCTATACAAGCAATTAGTAAAGCAAACACATGATAAGTAGATTTAAATATTTAATGTAAACTAAGTAGGGAAGATATTTTGGATGGAAGTCCAAGTGTCTGTAGTTAGAGAAACACGTTTACCTACAAGCATACTTTTGACGACTTTGGACTCTTCTTTGTATATATTCAAACAATATCTAGCAACCGTCCATCGACTAGGAAGTTTAAACTTTGGATTCAATGTCGATGAATACTCCACAAAGCCCTCATCCTCCACAATACTAAAAGGCCTGTTGTCTTTGATACACATCCTAGCCAATGCCATTCTACAAGCATCATGGTTAAACGTGTTACCCTTTCCAATGGGTGGTTGAGACGGAGAAAAATTTAAAGTCCTTTGTTTACTGTCTGCTTGCTTGTAACAGGGAGACTTGCGACAGTAAAACTTTAAGTGTTTTCCTAAACCACTGGTTCCAATTTTTTTAGAATCACACCTGATCATGTTCTTGCAATATGGACATTCTGCTTTTGTGATATTCTTCTCATATTTGAAATGTTCCCACACAAATGATTTCTTCTTCGAACCATCTTCTTCAATTTCTTCATTTTGATTTTCTACAGGAGTAGTTTCCTCAAAATTTTGAGTTGGTTGAGTACTTAGATCACTTCCATCTTTGATTGAAGTCATCTGTAATTTTGCAAAATACCAAAAAAAAATAAAGGATTCAATTATTTATGAAGAAAATAAAAAATGGATCAAAATGGAGTACATTCTGGAGCATAAATTCACAACAAGGATTTGTAAAGGAAAGCCTACTTTTCTCAAAAACAAACTACCAATTACAGATTTACAGTAGCAAAAAAATGAGTGGAAATAATAAATATGGCATAGCCATAATTCTGCCAATTCAAGGCATTCATGACAAATAAGCAATAGCCAGTACAAATTTATAAAGAAAAAATGGAGCAGAGGCTATCCCAGTACAAAATTATAAAGAAAAAATGTAGCCAGTACAAACTTTAAATTTCCAAAAAAAAAAACAGATCTTCATATTAATAAATTAAAAGAATTTCAGATTTTCACAACAAATTCAAAACAATTAGCAAAAATTTCAAATAAAAATTTCAATTTTTCACATGACAAATTCATATAACAAATTGTCAAATTCACAACAAAAATGCATAACAAATTCATACCACAAATTTATAAAGAATAAAGATTTTCATATTTACACATAACAAAATGTAAAATTCTTAAAGAAATTCTGAAATTAGTATTTTTTACCTCCGTACCTGGACTCCAGGACCTGGAGGCTGGAGAATTTCCGACGAGGTGGCGTCTGGCGGGCAGCGGCGTCTCTCTCTCGGTGACAGGCGGGCAGCAGCAGTGGAGCGTGCAGGCGGGCGACGGCGTCTCTCTCTCCGCAACTTCCTTCTGGCCTCTCTCTCGGCGACTTCCGTGCGTTCGTGCTACTGCTTGGGTTTGAGACTGAGAGTTGGGCACTTTTCCGTAGTTCGCTTTCTATCTGGAACAGAAATAGCAAATAGGAGGGCTACTGGAGTACTGGGATAGGGAGTTTTGGGCTTTGGACTTCAATATATAAATACATATAATATTTAAAAAATTAGGCCATTCCAAAATTTGGCTGGACCAGTGGGCTGGACTTCAATATATATTAATATATATTTGCTACAGTAGTTTGGTACGGGAAATTCGGGACGGGACAGAGCCCATTCCCATTCCCAAATACCAACCCGAAAAATCAGTTTGGTATGGTTCTGGATTTTTCGGTTCGGTAAAATTTGGTACGGCAAATCCGGAAATTTTCGAGAATTTTCGGTAACGGTATGGTACATGCATGCTCACCCCTAACTGCATCCAAGATCCCTTTTAGGAGGGACCGATGAGAACGATGCGACGACATAGAGCGTGATACACGGGATGGAGAAGAACACTGGCTTGACACTTCTTGAGGCTCAATGGGCTCGAGTGCTTGGATATCCGCCGGTTCTCCTTCGGAGTTGCGTTCTTCTTCACTTTCTTCTTCTCCTTCTACTTCCACGGCTCTTGGTACGTTGGAGCGATTGAAGGTGGTGACGTCAATGGTCCAAGTGTGATGTTTACCGACGTGAATGTCCTTCATCAAGTTCACCTTATGCGCACTCAAAATAGCCATTATCGGGACCACGTACCCGAGAGCCCCTTTAGATTTCATTGAAAGGAGATGATTGCAAAAGAATTTTGCTCAATTCATTTTTGTATTCTTCAAGAAAACAAAGAATAGACGAGTGTCCAAGGAAAGTATACGTACTTTAAAATGGTTCGACTTTCAAGGAGCTAGTACTTTCGAGATAAAATAGTGAAAAATAAAGAAATGAGGCTTAAGGCCTCCAACGGTAAATATTCACGTTCACGAATGTCTTCATTGCCAACTTTGGTGATGGTGTCGTAAGGAGAAAAAATTCTAAATTCCCTAGATGCGGGTTTGTGAAAATCACAACCCTCATAGGATAGGTGAAGGAGTTCACCAATCTCCTTGTGGCTCATCACAATGTCAATGCCATTAACGGAGGATTTGAGAACCCTTCCGTTGAAAGAAAGATTGGCATAGAACAAACAAACAAGATTTGGACAATAAATCTCAAATGTTCTACGCAAAAATTGAGTTACACTCAGCTTATCAACAACATAAATAGCATCGGCAAATGGCAAGTGATAGAATACAGTGTGTTCAATGATTTTGGAGTTAAAATTGGGCGATTCAAAAAATCATTGAAGAAAAGACGACAGGAGTCACCCTCGGGAAAAATGAACGAGGATACGTACCGTCCTTCTTGGGTAGTGCTAGTTTCCCCGATTGTGGCTTTTGAGCGGGGGCGTTTGGTGCTCCGATGACTGGACATGGTAGGGTTGAATTGTTTGCGCTTCTGTGTACTAGAAAGCTTTTGAAGGATTAGACCGGAAGGTGGGTTAGCTGTGGCCTAGGTGGAGACCACTTCCAGCGCTGGGGAGATCATGGGAAAGAAAGAATTAGTAGGACTGGCTTCTGCGCCCGAAGACCACTTCAGAAGGGCCATGCTCTGCTCGCGTCTCTTAGACCGAGGGTTCTAGGGAACCCCTCATTTCAGCGCCCAAGGAAGAAAGAATGATTGGATTGTTTCTTGGGAAGTGGAAAACAGCCAGGCAAAACAGGCAATGTGTTTGAATTTTCTCATGTTCAATAAGGGTGACACTCTTCATCTTCTCATAGGCCTTATCGGCATAAGAATCTCTAGAGAATGGGGTCCGTGAAAGGTTAGACCATAGCACCATGGAGGGTAGGTCTAAAGGGCTGTGAATTTGGAATTCTATAACAAAATATAGTGCATGATTTTTAGCCCCACCTTCGTGAAAATGGGGCGCTTTTGATGCGGGAACACACCGATGTAAGGGAAGGAACCAATAATGCTGAAAAAAGTCATGAAGTCCTCGACCGAGGGGGTTCTCCCTTTGACATGGCAGCGAAGAATGTAGAAAGCAAGGTTTTTGGGGGCATTTGTTATGAATTGGCCAAGACATATCTCCCAAGTTGTGCATACATCACAGAATGAAGGAGTGCAGCGGGAGTTTGAAACCATGAAGGACTGAGTCATAGTGCATCACAAGAAAGCGCTCCGGTGCTAAATTATAAGCAAGATTGATTCCACCCACGGTGTCCGGATGATGGACTCTGAATAGATCTCCAGAAGGTCACGCATGGGGACAAGCTCCGAATCCTTAATCGTGGAGGATTCAGGCTGCCATTGTTCTATGCCAGAGGATTTGGAAGTCATACTACAATAATTTGAGAAGAAAAGCCATGGATTGCGGAAGATAACTCCGAGATTGGGTCAAGAACGTTGTGAAGGCGTAAACGGGTCGCCGAAGTGGAGCGAGTTTTAAGATGTTATGGCTCGAATTTCGAGTAAGGAGTGGGATCGTTTCCGATCCGACACAATAATCAAAGGCGGCTCTTCATTAGTTCCTTGGTGACGTGTAGCGAAGGAACTAGGGGGCTTGTGATGGATATCCGGGCCCAATGGCCGGGTATGGACGACCCAATTGTGATTCCACGGCCCAACAGGGATATAAATCCGACAACAGAACATAGAGTTAAGGCTCGAAGGTGGACCCGGAGTGTCGACCCAATACTTGAATGAAGTGCAATTCCCCAAATCGTGGAATTGAAGGGGGGTTGATGACTGATTCCCCGCCATGTTTGATACATGATTAGAGAATTACTGATAATATAACACACAAAATATTACATGTCTTGTATACGGTAGAAGTAGACTATAAATAGAGGGTAAACCCTCTATTGTAACTCAAGCTGAATATAGCTAATACAAACACACAAGAGTTATTATTTTCACCAATAATGTTCTTATTATTATTCTGTTCTTCGCACGCCATAGTTGTTGGATAGAATCCCATCAATGTTTATTGAATTGTCCTAGCTAATTGTTGGGAAATTGAATTTGTTTGGAATTTTGGGTTGGAAAGAACTGTCTTGTTCTTTTCTATGATGTTCGTTCTTCTGCTCTATCTCCTTGCGCTATCGTGTTCTTTTTTGTTCTTTCTACAGCTCTCTTTCTGTTCCCGCTGTGACGCTGTTGAAGCACGCTACTGCCGTGAAGAATTGAAGCTCCATTGTTTCACCGCAGTTCGCTGGAAGGGAGAGTACTGCCCTATTCTCTGTATAGCTGTCGCTGCTAAGGTTCTTCCGGCAAGGGAGAAGGCTGCCGGTCACATTCCTTGCTGCCGCTACTATTTGGTGACGACGCGGGGTATTCCGTTACCAGTTTGATCGCTACCTTCAAATTGGTGGTGAGCTCGATACGACCGCGTACAGAAGATACAAATGCACACATACATTGAGTGTCCCACTTTCAAAACTAAAAGTTAGTCACCGTCCCATGAAACATTTCTTGTTTTAAAAATGACGCGCTTTTAAAATGAGTAGTTTTGGTATTATTTTTTAATTTTGCCTTGACTTTATAAAAGAGTAGGATGAGATGTGTAGAATAGATTAATCATAATTAGAAAATAGCACCAAAATTACTCATTTTAAAGGCGCGCCATTTTTTGAAATAGGAAATGTTTCATGGAACGGAGGGAGTAGTTTCTAAAATAGCCCATGAATTTCTTATATGGATAATGTTATTTGTACCTCAAGAATTTGTATCTCATTTTGTACACCGCAGGGATGCACCAATAATTTGTGTTGGTGTAATGCTAATTTTTGTTACCACATCAACACTTTGTATCAATGTAAATTTTTGTTAACGCACCAATACATTGTATCAGTGTGAGCCATCAAAATGTTGATGGATACCTTTGATGTACAAGTACAAATTTTGGGGTACATGAACTTACAATTCAGCTCTATTTATGTGGAAATTAGACGTAAACATCATTACAATTGAGTCCAAGCCACATAAATATCTCTATGTAATATTAAGATCCGAATTGTCAAGTCCTTTAAAGACAATATAATGTCAAGTGCATAAGTAGAGTATTTTCAAGGTATATTGGTGGTAAGTATATACTCCGTATGTTTTACTAAAATTATGAAATAGACTAACTAGTAGTAATAGACAGATTCGAGTTTAATTATATATTGAAAATCACTAATAGAGTTGAAATTAGAAATAAGGTCATGCGGGTACCGTCGTGCATCTGATGGTCTCGAGGGTTAAAAACGTACGTACAGAGGTCAGTGACCCCTGATGAGAGCCAGCAGGGTCTCAACCCCTTCATTGTGAAAACTTTGGAGTTTGAGAGTGGGTTTGGGTGAGAGCCTGGATTTCACAACTACTATAGGAATGAATTCGATTATATCTAGTAGGTAGGATAAGTATGGTAAGAACTAAATTGAATTATAAGGAATAATTATTAGTACAGTTGAATAATGATATTTCTTGATTCTTCTAATATTGTACGATTAGATATTAATCGATACTAGCATATGAGTTAATTTTAGAGTTAGATACTTCCATACTCCATATTTTTACAGGTAGGGGTCAACGATTTGATGAGGAATAGGTTGGAGGATAGTGAAGCGTGATGCTGGTGGATGGCCTGAAGCTGTTTGATCTATATTATACGGATTATATTTTTGTTGAACTTGTCTATTTAAAGTACAAAGATGTCGGATATTATTATCAAAGGCTTCCGCAATGTTTGTTTTATTTACTCCAAATAATTATGAATTGTTTTCAAATTAATGTAAATTGATGTTTTGTTATTAAATTTTTTTAAAATATTGTGCATGTGAATACCAAATTAGTAGCAACCTGAATTGCTAACTCGTTGGTTCGAATTACGCGAGTGGGAGTGTTACAACCACTTTCATCAAGAAAATGTATGGATGAAGAGTTGAAGGACGAGGTTGATTCTTACATAAAGGCTGCACGAAAGAAACGAATAACTTTCTGCATTGAGGGAGATATAAGTGTTGGCAAAACCACTTTTTTTTTTTTTTTTTTTTTTTTGCATAGGGCTAATGAAAAACTTGAGCTACAAGACCTTGTTAAGGTAGTACCTGAACCTATTTGGAAGTGGCAAGATATCAGGCCTGATCACTTACACATATTAGATGCATTCTACGCTGAGCCCCAAAGAAATGCGTATGACCTTCAAAACTATGTCTTTGTTACAAGAGTAATGCAAGAGAGCGAATATGTAATACCCGAACCCTCATAACTCGAATACATGGACTAGCGGAGCGAGTTGATCTGGATTGGCATCCAAACACAATAGTTTTTAAAACAATTTAAAATAAATAATCCAAAGCATTATATAAAACATCAATCGGTGTATAATAAAATGGTGCAGAAGCTTAAGTACTTATTTCAAACACAACTTTGGGTTCTTGCTCGAAAAAATAATAAATTCTAACTGTAATATTAAGTAAAATAACTCTCCAGCCTTGCATTCACCCATCTCCTCATTATTGCTGCCCTCAAAGATTGTTTCCTTATTACTCATTCTTCTCACTTTCGTGTAGCAAGTAAAACAAACTGCACGCTTTCATACAACGTTGTTCGTATATGAATATTATAATTATAATGAACAAATGTGTAAAAATGAATACAACGTTGCTTCACAATGAATACTACGTAAATTCAAAATGAACATTTGTTGGGTATAACTAGCTCTAGGTACACCAGGATGTAGAATATAGGCTATCCTAATAGGCTAACCAACCTCTGCAGCATTTCTTTTGAATACTTTTTCCTATAAAGAAGTTGAAAGTATACACAAACTAACTGACTGTGACCAGGCTATATGCACAAAACTAGCACAAGATCAATAACTTTAAAACACTGTAAAATTAGTAGCCAAGGATGTATATAGAGGTGTTCAAGTTGAATCTTACAAGTGAAGAGTACAAGGCACCATTCACAGCCTCCCTCTCATTGTTCCGTGGCTGTTTCTCATAATATATCGGTTTCAGTTTGCAGACCCATCATCAAATAACAACACTACAGGAACTCCCATTAAGGATAACTTTCACTTGTGCAATAAAACTCTGAGGATCACGAGCAAGACTATTCACCATCCATTAATAGGTGCTATCATTATAGGGTATAAGGCACAATGGGGCGCTTGAAATAATTAAGTAAACAGACATGGCTTATTTCAATTACCATGTTTCCTTCTTTTTTTCAGATGATGGCTACAGCCAGAGAAAGAGGTAACGGTGTACTTTGAATGAGCAAGCTCGGGCGGAATGCCAGCACCAGATGATTTAAGGATTTCAACCAAATCTGGGAAAAGTTTCTTATTCTCCTCGTTTATGAATACGATTGACACACCTTTCTCTCCCATTTTAGATGCCCTTCCAATCTGATGCACATATTCCGTAATGGAATTCGGCATGTCGAACACTATCACTTGTTTTACACCCAGCAGATCAACTCCTCTGCCCAAGACCCCAGTGGCAACCATCACAGGCACCTCCCCTACCAAAAATGATCCTAAAATTTCTCTCCTCTCCTTCATAGATTTCTCACTATGAATCGAAAGAGCTTTCAGTCCAGTGCATATCATTATTGCCTCAGAAAGGAGATCTGCCCCAAATCTAGAACCGACAAATACTAAAACGGGTGGCTTATAATGTTGCTTGCTCGTTAAAATATCAAAAAGCTTTTGCTTCTTTTGTTTTGATTCCACCCAGATGGCAATCTGCTTCACGGCTTGATTAGGCTTGTTCAGCTGGCCGACTGATATAGCAGCTAAATGTTTTGCCATTGAGTTGGCCATCTCCTCAACCTCTCTTGAAACTGTAGCAGAATACATCAATAGCTGAGGTTGAGATAGTGCCCTAAATATTTGCATTACTTGCTCGTAAAATCCTCTCTGCAGCATACAGTCTACCTCATCAAGAACGAAGATTGAGATGCTATCTAATTCAATCTCATGATGCTTAGCCAGAAGATCAATAAGCCTTCCGGGAGTACCAACAATCAATGAAACTCCCTGTTGAATACGATAGAGTTGTTGGGCCATTGAATCACCACCCACAATCAGTGCAGTTTTGAAAGGCATCCCTTTCCCTAACACCTTAGCTTGCCCCTCTATCTGAATACAGATCTCTCTAGTTGGTGCAAGAACCATCCCGGATGGTTTCTGCTTCCTCTCAGAGCAAGTTAGATTTGATTTAACACACTTTGCAACAATAGGAATTAAAAATGATCCAGTTTTCCCAGAACCAGTCTCAGCAGAAACCAGCAAGCTTTGACCCGTTAGAGAAGCCGGGATGGCTTGCATTTGCACAGGAGTTGGGATTTCGTAACCTGCAGCTTCTAAATTATCAAGAAGCTTTTGAGGAACACTGCATGAAGAAAATGACATGACGGGAGGTGGAACAAGGCCACCCTTCACAGAAATGTTGAGTTTTCTCCTCAACAACTCTAATTGATCACTGCCCAGACATTTTGAATCAGTTTCATTACTACAATCGCGCACATAATAACATTCATCAGCTGTTGGCAATTTTACTGGGGGAGGGCATGGAGATGGTGTTCCAGATTCTTCTATCCGAGATAATAGAATCGTTTTACATTCGACACTACAAATGTCATCATCAGTTTCATCACATATATATTCACCATAACGGCCACAAATAACACATTTTGGTTCATCAGGCAGAGCTTCCCTCTGCTCCCAACATCTCCTTTTCACTTCATTATCATCCGAATCAGAAGCTAAAAATGAAAGATTTTACTAATGATTTCACAATTAGAACTATAATATAGTAAGCAACTACATAATTATTAAGTTGATAAGAGAGAGTACCTAAGGATTGATTGCTTTCAGTTGCTGCGACTACTTGAGTTTCCATGGCTTGGAAAACTCACAGATTAATAAAATTGAGGTTGCCGATCTATATCTATCTTCCACAATTCAAGTTGTTTTGCATAGGAGATGCAAATGAGATTTCTTCTTCTTTCTTTCTTTTCTAAATCGGATTCGGCCACATACTTGAGTTGGTCTGCTCTATTTTAGGCCTATCGCCGATCGATCTCATCGTTTAACCCAATATTCAAGCCATGGACTGTTGAACACTTGAACGCCTCAATTGCCTGCATCGTACCGGACCTAAATTCAAATGGAGAGATTTGATATACTCCCTCAATCCAAATTTATGTAGATTTCACTTAAATGAGTTTAATTTTAACGGTTCGATTTTTATCCAAAATTAAAAAACAAAATGCAAGGTAAATTAGCGGTTCGATTCGGTTTGCACAAAAAAATGTAAATCATTTGGGTTTGGTTTTATGTGATTTTTATTTTGATTTTTTCAGTTTTCTCCGTTTATAAAAATAAAAATTTATAAATATTTAAAAATTGTAAAAAAACTAACCCGATGAAGGAATAACAATAAGTGGGTTTGGGTTCAATTTTTTGGTTTGATTTTATACAAAACCAAAAACCAAACAGAAGGTTTGTGTTCTGTTCAGTTCAATTTTACAAAAAAATGTGTCCCGAGTGGCCAACAAAACTCTAGAAGATTTCAAATACTCTCAAGGACATCATCATTTGTAAATATATGGAGAATTTTAATTTTTTGGTATAATACTTTCATTTTTATTATATCATCAAAGTTTTTAATGTATATATATGTTAATTACTCGTATCAATGTTTAATGTTAATATAATTTTATATTAGGATTAGTTATTGGTGTTTATATTCTTAGGTTTTTTTAAAGTTTATAATATGGCTTAAAATCTTTAATTAATAGTTAAAAAAATAACATTAGTTGACTTGTCAACTATTTGCATTTATATTTCTATGATTTATTACGTATCAGTGTATCACATAAACTCTTATAAATAAAGCGAAACACCTAAGGAAGTTCGGTTTATTTGGTTCGGTTTGGTTTTCCAAAGTAAAAACCAAAACAAAAACCAAACAATAACAGATCAGTTTTTTTACATTAAGTTTTAGTTTTTTCGGTTCAGTATTTTTTAGCTCGTTTCGATTGGTTTCGGTTCGATTTGTAGTTTTCGATTTTTCCAGCCCAACCCTAGTTTGACTTGATAAAATTTAAGGAAATCCAAAACTTAAGGTTGAGAGTGATGCGAGAATAATGTTTTTAACCACTCAAAGTTATTTAAAAAAGAATAGAAGAATTTTTTTAGGAGGTTTTAAAAAAGAAATTAGAAGTTCTTTTAGAAGAAAGAAATATTTATTTAAGGAAATAAATTTCAAAATTGCATATTTCCTTAATATATTCAGTAATTCAAACAGAGAGAGAGAGAGAAGAGATAGAGAGAGAGTTCGGAGACCTCTCGCTTGAGCACAAGTTGTATAGTACACCTGATTGTACCATTTTTCGGTACAGTTAGTGCTAAATTAGAGCAATGGACAGGAGGGAATAAGGAGGGAAGGGAAGGATTCCCTTCACCTTGTTTGATTGGGGAGGGGAAGGAAATGTTTTGTTTTTAATATATTATTATTTATATTTTTCATTTTTAAATTTATTTTGTTATCTATTTTAAAAAATTATGATCACAATTTTTTATTTTATTTTTTATAATTTTAATTTTATTACTACTTTTATTCTTTATCCTACATTTTAATTTTTTATTTTCTTATTTAATTTATTTTCTTAAATTTAATTATGTATATCCATATACATGTATGTATATAATTATATATGTATACATAGATATCCATATCCATAAACACACACACACACACACACACACACATATATATATATATAAGGCCACTTACGATAAGCTTCTCACTGATGCCGCCAAATACAAGCTAATTACTCCCTCTGTGCTATCAGAACGTCATAGGATAAATGGATCGCTTGCTAGAAAGGTAATCATTGAATTGGTGGAAAGAGGGTTGATTAGGGAGGTGTCTGTACATGCAAGCCAGCAGATATACACCAGAGCAACCAACTCTTGAGAGGTTCAACCTTTGTGTTGAGAATTCATGTGGTCACTCTTATAACTCTCTGCTCTTTTGCTTTGAGTTTAGAATGTCTTCCCTTTTTTTTTGAATTCTCGCATGTCTACATTTTTCAACTACTACTACTACATGACTACTAGTACCAGGGATGAAGTTGTTTTGTTCACATTTTAGACTTTAATGTATTGTTTTTGCATGTTGAAAATATATATATATATATATATATATATTTATTTATTTATTTATTTATTAATACGAAATTTATATTGATAAGAAGCAAGAAATGTTTACAGCAATGTGGGAGAAGCATTCGTCCCACCAGTTAAAATTACAAAACAGAAAAGCAATGAAAATTATTTCTATTAAAGTGCAAATGAAAACCGAAGGACTGCAACGTTTCATCCATATGCATCCATTTCTTGCCTTTGTGAATCCATATCCAATGTTGTATCGTCTTCATGATTGTTGCGATAATAGTCCCTTCTTTGAAGGCTTTCCCGGCGTATTTCACTTTGTTGTGAGCCTTCTATAGTCCCCATGCAATGAAACCTGGGAGGACTGAGTTGACTTTATCCTGCAGCTTGTTTCTTGGCGTGCTAATCCACCATTTCATGCAGGTATCGTGTAGGGTATCTTCCCTACTAGGAATGGGACCATCCAATAGAGCTGAGAAGAACCTCCAAATTTTGAAGGACATTTGACACTGAAGGAGGGTATGGTTGAGGTCCTGCACGCCATTGAGACAAAAGCTGCATTGGGAAGGAAGGGCTAGGTTAAACCTGGATAAGTTTTCCGAGAAGGGAATTGAAGTATATGATTGAAAGCTTTCCACAGGAAGAGGCTAATCTTTGGGATCTGAAGCTTGTTCCAAATCATCTTATGGGCAAGAGAGATAGGCTTAGAATCCCTCCAGGTGTGGTATACCAACTTGGTGGTGAAGGGCTCTCCCTCCCAGGTGTCGGTTTCATCCACTTCCTGGACATGTTGTAAGGCCCAGTTATGGATCCTTGCAGCCCTTTTCCGGGTAATCGTGTCTGTAGGACGTTCTTGAAAAGAATCTGGTCTGTATTTGCTCCTCATGTATTCCCCCCAAAGGCCTTGTGAGTTCCTAATCTTCCACCAAAGTTTGGTTGAGTATGATGCATCAACATCTTCCAGGTTTCTAATGCATAGACCTCCCTCGTGTTTTGGGTAGCATAAGCCTCTCCAGGATATCCAATGATATTTAGGCCTCCCATTTTTGTATCCCCATAGGAAATTCTGCATCTTCTTGTTCAAAATGTTGTGGATAGATTTAGGCATTTGTTGGACAGCAACAATGTGTAAGGGTATTGAACTGAGAACATGCTTAATTAGGATCAAACGCCCCATTTGGTTGAGCACCTTGCTATGCCAAGTATTAAGATAGACATCAAATTGTTGGATAATTTTCTTACAATCTTCCTTTTTAACTTTCCCTTTTCCAATGGTTGCCCCTAAGTAGGTGAAAGGTAACTTGCCCTCTCTCATATGAAGTGCCCTTTTTTGTATGGCTGCAAGGATTTCTATTGTCATCTAAGACTAATATTTTTAATCCTGTCTTTGTCTTCACTCGCGAAACAGCAACATAAAGCTGACCATGAGTGAACACTGATTTGGTTAAAAATAATCCAACAAATGACAATGTTTGACATTGACTTTTGTTAATAGTCATAGCAAAACATAATACTATTGGAAATTTTCTTCTCTAGAACTTTAGAGGTAGTCCTGGATCAGACGGTACCAAATTCATCCGGAGTATGTAAACTTTTTCGCCCACTCGATTTCCCGAAACCACAATAGCACCAATAACATTCTTTCGCATCTCGTCAACAATTAATCTTGTACCATTACACAATCCAGATGTTTGGTCACTGTTCCTCAATAACATAATTGGTACCCTTTTTTTTTAAACTATCCTGTGGTTTGGGATTCCCGAATATTTGATTTCATTCAAAAACTCAACTGTTATCCAGTCGCCATCAACACCTACATCTGAATCTGCCTAGCATAATGAATCAGAACTCAAGTACACCATTTCATCTCCGGGAATGAGGGATAAGACAAATTATTTACCATTTCTACAACTTTGAGCGTGGGTGCTAGTAGTGCCCTGTCTTCAAAAAATAATAACTTCTCATATTCTCTAATAAGTTCGGATAAGTAAAGTCCACTATACTTTTGAGGGGTGAGCTGTTATCTATAATCAAAATTAAAAAATTCAAGAGGAATTTCAACGTCAGCAGTTCCATCAATCACTTGTCCAAGCTTTCCATCTCCAACTTTGATAATCCAATCAGAAAAATCTTGTGTGTCTTTATCTACGCAAGAGGACGTTGATGAATGCAATCTCATATTATTTGTCAACTTAAAAACTTTACAATAAGACCACAAATTTTAAGAATTAATGGTAGCACCTACAATTTCTTCTCTCGAAGCTCTGGGTTTAACAGAAAGAATTTGTCTGAAATCACCTCCGAGTACAACCGTTTTCCCTCCAAATGGTTCATTTATTAAGTTTGGATTAGAGAACTTCATTAGACCTCTCATCGTGCGATCCAATGCCTCAAAAGCAAATCTATTCATCATACATGGTTCATCCCATATGATTAAACTTGCATGTTGAATAGTTCTGCTTTTGGGCTCCCTTGTTTGATGGCACACGTTGAGCACTCTGTTAGCGCCAAAGGAATTGAAAGTCTAGAGTGTGCTGTCCTTCCCCCAGGCAAAAGCAATGCTGCGGATGCGACATTCAAGACAACTTTACCACTTGATCTTAGAGAAGCAGACTATGATTTCCAAAGAAATGTTTTTCCAGTTCCACCACAAGCATACACAAAAAAGAATCCTCCTTTTCCAGCAGTCACAACTTTCATTATTTCATCGTATATCTTCCGCCGATCTTCATTCATCGTAGATAATTAAGTATCCTATAAGAAGCTTCAACGTTTATTTATGGAAAAGCTTCAATACTTTAATAAAAAAAATTTATTTATATAAAGATAAGAAAGAGGGTATAAAAAAACAATTTGAGGAGATGATGAGGAGAAGTGGAGAACAAAAAGGTCGAGATCCATAGGAGATTTGTTGGCCTTAAAATCACAGAGCAGACCGTCAATCTACGCATCAATGACTCTTGAATTCTTATTCTGTGTGTTGATATTGATTTGGGTGATTATTATTTGTATTTATATTTCTTATCATTTTAGGTATTAGTTATAAAAAGAAAACAGACTATAGTGTGATTTGTTTTTTCAATACTTAAACACTGGAGAAACTTCAAGAGACTATAAAAATTAAACTCCACACCAAAAAATAAGTTGAAAAACAGGATGCTATAAATCTAAAATTAAGGTTTGAAAAATAAGGACAGACTCAAGTCGTCAATACTTTAATAAAAAAATATGTTTTTTATGGTGCTGAAAATAGAAGATTCAAGAACAGCAGACTTTTTACACTTTAAGAACGGTAGAGTTATTATTGCATAAATTATAAGAATTCCTTCTTGTATTTAAAAAAATTTAGTCTCATGGTTTTAGGCACTGGAGAAACTTCAACATGAATAGGCAATAAAAAAACTAAACAGACTATAGTGTGTTTTGTTTTTAATACTTAGAATCAGAACAGACTATAATATGTTTTGTTTTTTCAATACTTTGAATCTGGAGAAACTTCAAGAGACTAAAAACTAAACTCCACACCATAAAATATGTTCAAAATCAGCAGACTAAATCTGAAAATAAGGACAGGCTCAACTCTTCAGTACTTTAATAAAAAAAATTAATTTTTATGGTTCTGAAAATACAAGCTTCAAGGAAAGCAGACTCATTATACTTTAAGAACAGCTTCATTTATTTATCCAATATGGGCAATTGAAGAATTTTGTTTTTTATACAGATTAGAATAATTGTGTTTTGAAAGTAAAAGCAAAATAACCTTCCAGCCACTAAAAAATTATAAGAAATCCTATTAAACATAAATTTTATATTGTATGCAAAATACGAATAAGAGTACAATTCTTACATGTTCGTCCATGAATATCATCTCAATCGAATTCGTCATCTTCTCCTCATTATACACTAGCATCTTGTACAGTCGAATCACATGAACCAAAACTCTCTAGCATTCACTTGATGGATTGATCTTCAACAAAAGGTGAATCGGTTTGAAAGACATGTGAATTAATCAGAGGTTTTAGGTATGAACGCGGCTTACAATGAAAAAATAAATTGATGAAATGGCTTACTTAAAATTTGATTTATATATGACCTAATATACTACCTCTGTCCCACTGTCTTTGTCCACTTTTGACTTTTGGAACTGCTCATCTTAGCACTTTGACTCATCAAATTCTCTCAATGTGTAAACCTAAAAATAGTCATGTGTGATCTTGTTTGATTCGTCTTAACATATAGATTTTTAATATATATAATTTCTATAATTTTTTAATATACAAATTACAAGATAAAATGGATTAAAGAAGTGCATTGGAAGGTGTGCCAAAAGGTAAGTGGACAAAGACAATGGGACGAAGGGAGTAAATTGCAAGAAGAAAACTTACAGCAATAAGGGTAGAAAATCCAGAGATTTGAATCGGAAAATTCGAAAGAAGAACAATTTCGTAGAGACTAATCATCATAAGAAGGAAAGAAGGCCAATCACCCCAAAAATAATTATGATTTTTTAAGAAAAGGGAAAGAGATTAATTCCAATCACATATTCTCTGAAATCTCACGGTGGAGCCATTCGAAGATGAATATCGCAGGGAGGTGCAATCGAAGGAAAATGTCACTAATGTCTCGCTACATTCAGACTTGTGGATGAATTCCACACAGAGTAGCCTAAATAAAAAAAAGCCTAAAGTAATGAATCATTATCCAACCCGTTTGAAATATTGAGTAAGTCCAATATGATGACATGGCTAATTTTTTTGGATGTAACGGGACTTTTTATTATATGGTTGATATAAATTGATTCTCAATCTCGTGCAAGGTCTTCGACTCTTCTCATACCCGGGGTATGGTTCCCTCGTTCCCCTTCGACCAACTTAGCATCTCGTCAACATTTCCTTTCAATTTCCTTTCTCTTTCCCCTTTCCCCGGTGTGGTTCCCCTCCCTTCCATGTTTTGATAATAGTTTTTAATATTTAATTTAAATTAAATTAATTAAACTAAAAACACAATATGATGTAGCACAGACTTACTGATTTCCAGAACTAAAAACACAAAATACATTTAAATAATAAAAATTTTAAAATTGGATAATAAAAATTTAAATATAAAATTAAAAACTGAAAAATTCAAATTAAGAGAATCATATTTTAAAAAAATTAAAACAACAACATTACCTCAGGAATAGCTCCCGCCCATTCCAGGGTAAAGGAGGTTGAATGTACGCAGTCTGACATCTATGTTTAAAACATAAAACAGCTAAAAATAAAAAAAAGAAATGAAGCAACCAAAAAAGAAGGAAGAAAGAGCAAAACAAGATACAAAAAGAAAGAAAGCAAAGAAAGATGCGGGAAAAAAATAAAGGCAAGGAGCGGGAGAACGGGAGGGGAACCCGCTCTTCCTGTTCCCGCTGGGGTGGGGGGAGGCAGTGTTCCCCTCCGTCCAGCGTGCCATGCAGCCTTTCCTGCTGGGTTCCCGTCGCCCATCACCCCCCCCCCCAATGGCCTAAGGGCTCCATGAAGTGATGAAACAGTGAGCACCAAGACATTAACCTTAGGTTTAGTTTGGTATGACATTGATTAGGAGTAATAAATTTGATTACATTTTCTTACTAAACCTTATTAGCCCTACACATTGACAAAACCATCTGGGCAACCCTCGCATTTTGACATTCCGGAACGATGAAGATAATAGGAGGAGACAAAGGAGCAGATAAAAGATGAAAACCCACGTTCAAAAATGCCAAGGTTCTATCCAAATTAATGTATTCACACGAGGATCATCTTGAATGAAAATTAAGGGGGGAAAAAGGAGCTGAGCTACAAAACAAACGAACCTTGAAACACCGCCACTTTCAAATTCTTCTATAATTCCTGCACGAAGATTACACCAAACGCAACCGAACCATAGAAGATTACACCAAAAGCAACCTGGTTATGACTGCAATTACAAGTGATGTCAATGAAGATGAGAAGAAACCATACACGCAATTCACGCTCACTTAACAAAGCAATACATGTTCACTCTTAAAACAAGTTCAGTACACATATGCAGATTTACTACATTCAGGATGCAGACTCGCATAAAAAGCGACAACTAAGATCTAGCTAAAATATCCCTCTTCTACAGAGAAGAGACCCCTCCCTCACCCCACTACCCAAAACAAAAAAGTTCAAGAACAAAAGGTTGAAAATGACCCAAGATCTATGCACACGAAACTATTTGAAGGCAAAAGATGAAAAATGTCATTTGTTTTGTATTTGACTTTTCTGACCAAAAGATAGAAATCCTGAGCCACACACACATAATCTGATATGGGACTCCCATTAACAAGGACAGTTAGACAAGGTACTAGGGTATAATTTGTGAAAGCTCAATTGTGGGTGTTTCATCAATTACAGTTGAGAGAACTTTTCAGGGAAGAAACATTAACGTGGGACAGCTGAGCAGCAGTCACCACAGCCAATGAATGCTCTTCACTGATTATTCGTTTCCCTCAGTCTCATCCTTTTGGTGCATTAACGGCAATATGCCATCATCTGTTTGACAAGTTTCCGGCATATTAACATCTTCAGCCTTAAGTCCAGTACAGTTATCTTTCACAACTTCAGCATCTTCTATCTGCTGCTTCTCATGTAGATTCACTTCTGAAACCACATATTCCTTCAGCTCAATACCGTGCACCGTGTGGCCATCTTTTCCTTCCAAATCATCATGTTCTTTCCCTAAAATATCATTGCCAATCTTCTCACCCATGCATTCTTTGGCTTCTTCAGTATTACCAACTGCGACCTCGTCATTGAAAGTTCCAGTTTCCATCACCACATCATTTTGCTCTCTCCTACTATTATCTCTATCAATGGTATCTAACTTTCCTCTCCCATCATCTCTTTCCATGCTCTCCATAACCAGTTCCAGGTTGTTATCCTCGATCGAATTTGTGTCTCCATGACTGTCGCTGTCATTTTCAGACTCATTCTCAACTAACTCCTCAATGTCATCTCCACCACGGTTTTGCCTTTCAAGACTATGCAATCTCCTCGTCAGATCACCCAACTCCCTCTCCATCAAGAACAACCTCTCCTTCAGGAGTAAATTCTCTTCCTCCAGTTGAGCAATATGAGAATCCTGATCGTCCACCCGATTTTCCAAAGCATTGTTGTATTCCATGGCACAGTTTGGATAAATCATCTCAAAC